AAGTGCAGTGAATGGAGTGTACAACCAGACTGAGCCCAGAGCAGGGAGTGTATATAGAATGTCACCAGATGACACTTGTAGAACCAATCATTGAACATGTACAAGTCGGGGGGACTCCCGCAATGAAAGAAGACCCTGAAACTCCCGGGGAACTACAAGTCCCAGCAGCCTACTTTAGTTGCAGCTCGGCAAGGCATGCTGGGAGTTGTAGTTGTGCAGTGCGGAGATCACACAGAGCTCTCAATGAATCAACAAGTGACTAAAGAAAGTGTCTCACGTTTCCGAGCCTCCGCCACCCTCTCGGCCGCCCTCTTCTCTGCCTGCAGCAGCTGCTGGATTCCTGCGGACTGACTGGCCATGATCCCCTCTGAACGCCGCTTCTCCGGATCACTCGAACCGATGATCGATCTCGGGTCAGATGACCAGGCACACACGTCAATGGAGACTCACGTGACCACGTCTTGCTCACCACGCCCTCTGGTCCAGTCTTAGTCACATGACTAATCTTTCCTGTGTCATGTGCTGTGCTGTGCTGTTAGTTGGGCGGGGCATGAAGTTCCTGGAATGTTGCTGCAGTTCCTCTAAAAGTTGTCACCCGATCACTATAAGTTATGGCAGCAGTGTGTCAGCCCACTGAATTACATGATGACAATTTTAATCAATTCAACCCTTACATAGCCCCTAAATCCCTCAGAGAAGCCTGAGGTCACATGATTGCAGTGTGTCAGCCCACTGAATGACATGATGACAGTTTTACTCAATTCAGCCATAATTGATCCCCCCTTCCCCATACATAGCCCCCAAATCCATGAGAATAGTTTGCGGTCACATGATTGCAGTGTGCTAACAGGCCTCTTGTTGCCGGGATTCACACTGGTGTGATGCAACCATGGTAACATGCTTTGCCCATGTTACTATGCGTTGCGGTTCATTTAACCGCTTCAGGACCGCCCACCGTAAAAAAACGTTCTGAAGCGGTTATACCAAGAACACGGCTGCTGCTGCAGGTGTGTTCTTGGTATCATTTTCAATAGCAGGCGATTGCTGTTTAAATACAAGTAATCTGACAGCTGTCAGATCGCTTGTACGGTACTGCGCTGTCGCCGCTGTGTGCCCCTTCTCACCTACCTCATCTAAATCAGTGCAGGACCTTTTTTTTTAAATTGTATCACATCACAACACATGGCAATAAGTTACCATACATTGTGGTGTGTGCAACACACATGAAATAGGTAGGGGTGCCATTAATGTACATTGGGGTGACAATAAGCCCTCGTTTAGAACTATGCAATGTAAATACATGCCCGTTCCTGCACACCCTTCACACGAGATCGCATGTCATGCTGTTAGGCCATCATTTCTTAATAGCCACCACACGTGTGTTACATCACACCACAACATATACAGGTGAATACTCGAATAATTAGTGGGAAAACATGGTTGTGGGCAGGGAAAAGGGGGGGGGGGGGGGAATGGAGAGATAAGCCCAGTGAATGGAGTGTACAACCAGACTGAGCCCAGAGCAGGGAGTGTATATAGAATGTCACCAGATGACACTTGTAGAACCAATCATTGAACATGTACAAGTCGGGGGGACTCCCGCAATGAAAGAAGACCCTGAAACTCCCGGGGAACTACAAGTCCCAGCAGCCTACTTTAGTTGCAGCTCGGCAAGGCATGCTGGGAGTTGTAGTTGTGCAGTGCGGAGATCACACAGAGCTCTCAATGAATCAACAAGTGACTAAAGAAAGTGTCTCACGTTTCCGAGCCTCCGCCACCCTCTCGGCCGCCCTCTTCTCTGCCTGCAGCAGCTGCTGGATTCCTGCGGACTGACTGGCCATGATCCCCTCTGAACGCCGCTTCTCCGGATCACTCGAACCGATGATCGATCTCGGGTCAGATGACCAGGCACACACGTCAATGGAGACTCACGTGACCACGTCTTGCTCACCACGCCCTCTGGTCCAGTCTTAGTCACATGACTAATCTTTCCTGTGTCATGTGCTGTGCTGTGCTGTTAGTTGGGCGGGGCATGAAGTTCCTGGAATGTTGCTGCAGTTCCTCTAAAAGTTGTCACCCGATCACTATAAGTTATGGCAGCAGTGTGTCAGCCCACTGAATTACATGATGACAATTTTAATCAATTCAACCCTTACATAGCCCCTAAATCCCTCAGAGAAGCCTGAGGTCACATGATTGCAGTGTGTCAGCCCACTGAATGACATGATGACAGTTTTACTCAATTCAGCCATAATTGATCCCCCCTTCCCCATACATAGCCCCCAAATCCATGAGAATAGTTTGCGGTCACATGATTGCAGTGTGCTAACAGGCCTCTTGTTGCCGGGATTCACACTGGTGTGATGCAACCATGGTAACATGCTTTGCCCATGTTACTATGCGTTGCGGTTCATTTAACCGCTTCAGGACCGCCCACCGTAAAAAAACGTTCTGAAGCGGTTATACCAAGAACACGGCTGCTGCTGCAGGTGTGTTCTTGGTATCATTTTCAATAGCAGGCGATTGCTGTTTAAATACAAGTAATCTGACAGCTGTCAGATCGCTTGTACGGTACTGCGCTGTCGCCGCTGTGTGCCCCTTCTCACCTACCTCATCTAAATCAGTGCAGGACCTTTTTTTTTAAATTGTATCACATCACAACACATGGCAATAAGTTACCATACATTGTGGTGTGTGCAACACACATGAAATAGGTAGGGGTGCCATTAATGTACATTGGGGTGACAATAAGCCCTCGTTTAGAACTATGCAATGTAAATACATGCCCGTTCCTGCACACCCTTCACACGAGATCGCATGTCATGCTGTTAGGCCATCATTTCTTAATAGCCACCACACGTGTGTTACATCACACCACAACATATACAGGTGAATACTCGAATAATTAGAATATCGTGCAAAAGTAATTGCAGTAAGTGCTGCAAAAGGGGCCCAAACCAAGTACTGAGTACATATGCATGCTTGTACTTTTCAGAGGTCCGATATTGTTCTATGTACAATCCTTGTTTTATTGATTGCATGTAATAATCTACTTTTTTGAGGTTGTGGATTTGGGGTTCTTGGGGTTTTCATGAGCTGTAAGCCATAATCATCACAATTATGACAAATCACGGCTTGAATTATCTTGCTTTGCATGTAATGAGTCTATCTCATATATTAGTTTCACCTTTTAAGTTGCATTAGTGAAATAAATGAACTTTGCACGATATTCTAATTATTCGAGTTTCACCTGTAGTGACGCATTACAATGTGCTGTGGTGCAATTTAAAAAAAAGGGTCACACACTTCTTTTGGTGAAGTTTGGACGTGGTAGGAAGTCCATTCAAATAAACAGGCTGACCTACAGCAACACACAGAAAACACACGCACAATGGTTGCACTATGCCTGCCTCTTTCCGGCCAGAGTGTCCCAGCCAGGTGCCTAAGAGCTGGGTAGGAAAATGTGTAAGGGCCATACACATCTCCCCGCCTGGTTCTTAGCAACCTGGGGCGCTCTTGCTTGTGTAAAGCCAAGATTCTGGCAACTAGTGCATCACTGGTTGCCGGGAGCTTGGCAGGACACTGGCAAGAGCACCCAGATTGCTAAGATATGGGCAGGGAGATGCACAGCCTCTACACATCTCCCTTAGCAGCATCAATCTCCACCAGCAACCCCGCACCGCTGATTGTGCACCATGCAGCAACATCCCCAACTGCCTCAGGTGGTAACAAAGCTAGGGATGTCCCGGCCCAGCAAAGCGGTGGCTGGTGATTGCCAGGGCAGTCTAGAATGAACTGGGTCCCCACAGTGAGCAGAGACCACTGGATTGAGCTGTGTCACCACACCTCTGCACTCAGGATTACGTGACAGGTCACTCTGGTTATGGCCTTCCTCCATATTACTGGAGCCCTGAGCTGGAGAGTGGGGAGCCATGTGTGGTATTTTCTACCATGAGGTTGTGAGCAATGTCCCTGGTGTAGCTGAATAGAAAAAATGTAACAGAAGTGCAGCTTTCTTTGAATAATTGCTTTACATTCATTGCCTCCGGGCTGTGGCGTCACAAGGGGGATACTAAACGAAACAGAACGAATTTTTTGACGGCGCACAAGTCTACAAAACAACGTTTGGCGCACAAAGCAAAACCCTCTGTTAAGCTGCCCATACACCTTGCGATCATTGGACAAACTTTTTGTTCCTATGAACGAACCGTCGTACGATTTTCGTACGGCGGCCCCATCCTGCCCCGATTATCCCAAGGTTGAATCAGCAGTAATTAAAAGAAAGCACCTGGACGAATTGCAGTAATCGACCACACGTGTTTTCATCTGCGCATGAGCAGTTTAATCGTACGAATTTTGACGTACGGAAACGCCACAAACCTTGCAAAAATCGTACGAACGACCAAAGTTTTCTGACCTGCTGGTTAGTCAAAAGTCGATCGATTGTACAGTATTTGCGGTTGTACACTGCCCATCAACCTTGCGAATATCGTACGAAAACGCGATCGCATACGAAAATCGGTCGATATTCGTAAGTTGTATGGGCAGCTTTAGGCTACAATTACACAGGACTATTATATATGACTGAGGATTCCTGTGGCAGAAATCCTAGGTGTAGCTATACAGATGCAGTTGCTGTTCATGTTCTCTGGACATACACAGGGAGAAGAAAAGAGGGAAACAGCAGTGTGGAGGGGAGGGGGGCAGGGACGGAGCTGAACTGACTGTGTTATTGCCGATGTGTTATCTGTATTGTCCCGAGACAGCAGTGTGGAGGGGAGGGGGAGAGGGGAATGGAGAACAAAGCGGCGGGGATGGATTGGCCAGTGTTGGTAGAACGTGATATCACATGAATAATCTTTGATAGGATGTGCCCTGAGATGCTGCACCTGCACGGGTTCTCATGAACGCGCAGCAGCTCCTACAATACAAGCTGCTGTCACTCCATGGGAGAGGAGGATCACGACAATATTGTCGGGAACTCTTCTCAGCACAGAGCTTAGCCCCGCCCACACTTTATTACATAGTTACATAGTAATTGAGGTTGAATAAAGACGTAAGTCCATCGAGTCCAACCTATTGCGTGTGTGCATTTATGTTTGAGCAGGTATGTGTGCGTCTTTTCTGCAGCCTCCCCCACCAGGAAACAGCCAGAGGAGGTGAAGGTAAGTTAATAAATAAAATCATAATTTTTTTTTTTTTGCCCAATTGATGGCATTGCTGTATAAAGTACAGCTGGTATTTGTAGTTTGGATCTAGACAGATTCAGAGGTAATTGGATGTAAATGAACACAGGTCTGTTTACATCCACTGGCCTACAGACTACGGCTTACCATACAACTTGCGATCATCGGACGACACTTTTCGTCCGATGATCGAACCGTCGTACGATTTCCAGTACTGCCCCGATTATCGCAAGGCAGGATCAGCGGTAATTAAAAGAAAGCACCTGGACGAATTGCTGTAATCGACCGCACGTATTTTCATCTGCGCATGTGCAGTGTAGATGGTACAAATTTTGACGTACGGAAACGCTACCAACCTTGTGAAAATCGTACGATCAACCGAAGCTTTTAATAAATCAACCCCCCTTGTATAACCTTACATGAGATAACTGTATTTCTACTATCGAGGGGGGAAAATACACTAGATTGCCTACCGTATTGGGACGCCTGCCTTTACATGCACATGAACTTTAAT